GGACTTCATCTAATCTTAATCGATTTGATAAGGTCTCCCCAATTAGAAATTTCCCCGGAAGTGTTGGTGTCGTAACGGAAGAGATGTATCCTGTCTGTGTACCCAGCAACTATTGGACTTTAGAATCTTCAATAGATATGGCAGAATTTGTGGAAAAATCTGAAGAAATCATTAACAAAGTTTCCAAATATGCAGAACAGGACAAAGACGTGAAAGAAAATATTGTGAGAGATGCAACTTTCAGTATCATGAAAACCAAATATCAAATATTTGAAGACCAAATAAAAAGCCTGAAATATCGTATGAAAACAGAACCCAGGAATTTTCCAACAGATGCTCTGTATATGGGAATGATCCCTGTAATACATCGAAGAAAGGACGAAGTGACCAGTACTGTGATACAGCAAAAGCGAGTACAACTATTAACGTCCTTGAATTTCCACGCAAAAACGAGCAAAGTTCTGAAAACGGCTTTAAAATTGGCCAACAATTTAAAGTACGAACGAAGAAATACCACTGAACAATGGTTCATACTACTTAGTTTGGGACTAGAATTAACTCAAGCATCCGATACAGTGAATTTAATGCTGCAAGACATTGACAGGGTACACCGTTTCCAATATCCCAGTAATTTATATTACGAAGATTATGTAGATATTGCTTTGAAAAAGATCATTGAAGCTGAGAACAAGCCCCCAATATACATAACGCCGATCCAAGAGTTATTGACTTTGTTGAAGTCACATCCACTAACAATTGGAGTGATGGATGGATGTGAAGAAAATGCTACGTGTAATTATTGTATAACGACAGTTGTTCCGATTATAAGGCACTCGGACATGTTTGATTTAGTCAAGGTACATAGCATTCCCATAGCAGAAGACACCTACATGGGAACACCAAAGTGGCATAAAGTAAATTTAACGGAACCATATTTACTATCTCAAGGTACTAGGTTATATGCTTTACAAGCCAATGAACTTCCTTTATGTCTACCTCAATTCGGTCATTCTATCTGTCGAATATGTAAATTTCACAGGCCTCCAGTATATGAAGCAAATGATTGTGTGAAGGCCATACAAAATGGCGATCTAGAATCCACAATAAAAGGAAAATGTCCATTGGTGGAAATTGATAGGCCACAAAACCTGGCTATACAATTAGACCCTGATGAATTTGCTTTTGTAGACTCTGACAAAGGAAGAATAACTCAGTACTGTTCCGGAGAAAATTCACAAGCCACCGAAAGTACCTATGAGATGCCTTATTCTGGAATTATCCAGTTCAAACCCAATTGTCGATATACTGTAATTAACGGACCATTTAAGGAACTAACCCCCACTCTGGAGAATATTGAAATAAATGCCGTGAACGAAATCCCTGCCAGCATACCTGGATTGAAATCAATTGCAGAAGATATTAGCGAGTTGCAATTACATTTCAGGGACCATGGATACATTTACCTCATCGTTCTCATCATATTAATAACCATGATACTAATTGCGATTGTTTATTTCTGTTTTGCAAAGATTAGATATGTACTGCAGAGGAGACGAAGGCTAGAAGCAATCGACATGAATGATATGTCTGCCACAGTGGAACTGGTTGGAAATTCTGTGCCTGTGCGGCCCGCACCCAAAACTTATCCAAGGATCCGAATGAATCCTGCCACTGGTGTTTTGTCTCTTAGCACAAATTAGAAACAATAGAAATAGTTTTTCTCTCTGTGTAAAGCTCTTTTTATTCTCTGGTTCCTAACTACAAAAAGAGCCTCATTCACTTGCGACAGAAACAAAGTCATCAGCACTAATATCTAATGCTTCGTTGTCTTGAGTGTCTTCAGTATTTCCCAGCTCTTCATCCAACGATAGCAGTGGTGAAGGGGACAATGGCGGACTCATCGGCGCTGGAACGGGCGATGCGAGAAGATCCGGCACTTGCACTTCCGAATGCTGAACGAGCCTCCCCAGTGCTTCCAGCATCCTCAGCAATGGCTGGAACCAAGCCTGAGCAAAAGCGAAACAAACAAGGAAACACCAGCAAGCCATGCAATTAAGAGTCGTGCCAACTTAAAATTCTGGATGTTTAAATTACATACTCGGTTTAAAAGTTGTCAGTTTAGGAATTCTGGAACGAATAGTTGCAAATCCACTAGTAGAGTCTTCGGAGACAGTAGAAAAGTGAGTTTCATCAAACGTTTTGGGCTTAGACAGATCCTGCATCTCTATTTCTTCTATTTTTACCCCTGATTCAACATTAGAGTCATTAGGCTGGTTAGTCAAGCAGAAGAAGAAACATGCAGTTAATTAAGGGGTGTGCTCTCTTAAAAAGAAGAATGCAGATTAGTCATTCACCTTCTTGCGCAAGCAGTGCCACACCAAACCAGCGACCAAACTCAAAACGGTAAAACTAAGACCGCTAATTAAAGCGATGATACCGTTCGAAAGAAACTCCGCAGTCAAGGTCGTCTTTCCATCCGAAACGGTCAAAGTCAGGTTCGTATTCTCCCCAGAAAAAAGGCGCGTCTCAGGAATGTCCGAAAAATTGTTCAGGACAGCCAAAAGTATGGAAGGCTTCTTAGTTACTACCAAAAAGACATGTTTTTGTATATTTCGCACTCTTTTCTGAATATCAGAATCCTCATACCTTGTTCTTTCGCAGCCGAAGTAGAAATGGTTACAGGAACGGTAAGAACGACAGATGTCGCTTCCGAAGATACGGAAGAAGACCGCGGAAGAGAAGTAGTGGATGGAGTTGTCACAGTAGTAATCGCAACCCCATCAAGGCAGTGACCTTACAGGCTTTATGGAAGAAGATGAAGTGAAGGAGCTGTCTTTCTACCTCCTACCTATTAGGGTTACCCCTACAGTGGGAGTGTAACCTGGCGCTCCAACAATTCCACCCTCTGCAATCACAAAATATATTGATTATAGTTAAATATTTTAACTATTTTTTCCTATTTCTCCACCTTTATGTTGAAGTAATCTAGGCAGCTCAAGTCCAAGACACCTCCAGTCATCACGAACGAGTCATCGAACGCCGCCGCCTGAGCAACGTCCGATGAGCAAGCATCCGTACACTCCAAGCGGCCATCTTGGACAGAACATTTCCCGTCAGCAAGATCAGGATCAGTCACCATCAAGAGGACCAACACCAGAACACGCAGAGACATTTTCGTCAAGAAATCTGAAAGATTCATTGAATACTGATCACTGATCCGATCCCTTATGTTAAGTCTAAGGGAATCACCTTATCATCGAACGCCGCCGCCTGAGCAACGTCCGATGAGCAAGCATCCGTACACTCCAAGCGGCCATCTTGGACAGAACATTTCCCGTCAGCAAGATCAGGATCAGTCACCATCAAGAGGACCAACACCAAAACACGCAGAGACATTTTCGTCAAGAAATCTGAAAGTAAGTAACTTATGACTAGTGACTAGGCTAGGGAATACAATTCAGATTCCCTTAGTGGAAAAACAACTACGGCGCTTTTGCTTGGCAACTTTAACAGGCTTTTAACCGACTTTAGTGATAGTGGACATTAGAAAGAGATTGACCGTACGGAATTTTTAGTTTTGCCCCGGTTTTCGCGCAAATTAGATCGTTATCGCCGACGCTACGCTACGAAATTCGAATTTTTGTTCGCGAAATTCGGACGAAAAACCGCAACGAATTAAGGTTTAAGGGTTTGAATAGCACGAGAAGGCTAAAGACATCAAATTCCAGCATTAAATTAACGGGATTCACTTGAAACGAAGCGAGAAACGAAAAACGGTGAATTCTAGGGAACAGTGCACATACCTGAACAAGGGGTTGGAATGAACTGAGCAAAACCAGTCAATCGTTGGTTGGGGACTCTGGAGGACTCATCTGAACTAGTCCGTACTCCCTCTTCCGACACCAACAATAATGATGAAGGACGGAGAGGGGTCTACTTGAATAAGGACAACTTGCACACTCGGCATAATTGCTCCGACGTGACGAGAAAGTGTGGGAGCGTGAAAAAACGTTTCAAGGGAGAAGGCTGTGGTTGTTATTACTACTTCCTGCCTCTCCCCAGATGAACTTATTCCTGTTGAACATCACTCGGCATAATTGCTCCGACGTGACGAGAAAGTGTGGGAGCGTGAAAAAACGTTTCGAAAGCACTTTAGAGACTGAACCACCCTCATGCGTCCTCGAAAAAGAACAAATAGTCCCCTCTAAACACCAGGTTATTTACAGTCCTGGCGTTATATGTCGTGAAAGACTCCAAGGGAGCGTACGAAGTGCAAACAAGCGCATCGTTAAAATTCCATGCACGCCCGTGTATTATATATATATGCTAATGCATATATTAAAGCCTTCTTGCGCTACGCACCTTTTACCTTGGTTGCTGCGCAACCAAGTAACCAATCCGAATCGGTTGCTAGGCTTGGCGCTGACCTCAAAACGGGTTTGTCTATATATACGAGTGTCCGCAATACTATGTTAAGTTTACTCTCTCATAACGTTTGACGCGAGAACCTTGACGCCGCATGCTCATATATTTCTATGCTGTGTGAAACGGAAATAAAAGACGCACTTGTAAAGTTTGTCAAAGTCTAATTTTGATTCTTTGAAAGCACGCCGAAAACAGTCAAATCTTTGATACCAACAGTCAGCAGTTTTTATTAGCAGCAATTGTCTGATCAACAACTCTGCTTGAAATTTAAGCTGGTTAAGACAACAAAACAAATATACGCTTATGAATTCCTGATACGCTTATGAAAAACGCTTATATCAAATACGCTTATTTTTCAAAAACCTTTTGTCTTTTACCATGGACATATATATTCCAACCATGGGTACATACATATTGATTTCATACCTTATATTGAAGAAATTGTTCCAAGCATTTGAAGAACAAAAACTTTATGAGCAACCCACAATGCAGTCAAAGCACAAAACAATCATACAGCAGAATTGATTTCAATCATTTCAACTGTCTCAGTTCTAGATTCAGTATCATCCAAATCATTCAGAGGAATAGCTGGAAAAAATCCCAACCAAACTCTGATCCAAAAGAAACATTCCGCAAACCAGCTCCTCGTAAAGTAAACACAAAGAATCAGAGAAATCAAAGTCCCAGCAAAAGCTAAAATAATTATAAACACAAACAAAATATGATAACCCAATGGGAAATAATTGCGTGCATCGAAATGTGAAAAATTGCGTGTTTGGTTTGTGAAAATCATGGTCGATACCAACGCCGCCCGAGTCGTCAGAGAAATTGACGTCAACGTGGAAATCGTAGTCAAAGCAACCAACGACGTCACTGCCAATTCCCGTAAACCCTTCGTTGAAACCGCCACCTCCTCAACCTTTGTCACCGAAGTCGAAACCTGCAAGGATTCCTGCGTTGTCATCTGTTCCTGAACTTTATGTTCCTGTTCAACCTTGCAACTCTTTCCTTTCAAAAGGATCCCTTCAGACAACCCACTACATGAAGCATCGTCAAACAACCAAAGTTTCTGAACAACACAAGAAAACTCAAGAAATTGTGTTTTGTGTTTTTGTTTCGGTGAAACTCACTGTTATCCCATTTTTCCACGCACAGTCCAAATTTGCGTTGTCCCCCGCAAAATGAATTATCCCTTTCACGCTAGCAGAATCAGAAATGTCTGCCCCACATAAATCAGAACACCACCAAATGTTGTCCAACACATAACAATTGGAATGTGAAGTAACAGTAACAACCAGAGTTAAAAGAATTCCCACTTCATAAAACATTTTTGAGATTGGTTTTGAAAGGATAATATTTTCTTAATGAATTTTTGAAGCAAAATGAGAGATCAAAATCCATCCTTCCCTCAGGAAAGAAAAATTCACATCTCTCTTTCAAAAATCACAAAAGCACATGAAATACTCGCAAATAATTATCGAGGGTCAAAAAATCTGTCAAGCCATTTGGAGTGGATGTCAGATTATTTTGAATGAAAAAAAAGCGAGCTTTTTCTTGTTTGTGCCGGGTGATTGTTATCGGTGGAAATTCCCCGATATTAATTTGCTGTGAAACGCGCCTGCGTTTCTAGAGACGCGCATGCGTTCTCTCGAGAGCTCGCCAAAAGGCAGCGCTCACACATCAGCGAGAAAGAAAGAGAAAGACTGGGAAAAGGATGAGATAATAAATTAGAATATTAATGTATAATATTATAATCATCTCTGGACTCCTTCCGATTCCAAGAACCAATTAACCACTGACAGGCGCGCCCCTCCTGACCTAGATACAACGCACGCATGTACCAGTTTAATTGGTCTCAAACTTATGGATTCCCCCCTCCGCGGTTCTTCCTGAAGCACGTGTACAATCACGTGATCGTAACTGCGCAGTTTCCAGAACTTTCCGTGTTCCCCTTCCCGGATTTGGGCAGTATATAAACCCTGGTCAAATCCAGGATTAGCAGGCAGTTGCATGCAGTTGTGCATTAGCAGTTGTGCATTGACTTGTGAAGTGACCCTTCTGGTATAATCCTCTGTGTTTGCTGGTGTCTCTGGATTGTGTTGTGTGGTATTATTACACAGTAATAATAAAGACTATTTCTGTACTTGAAAGTACTTGCTGATATACCTCTCTATCTATTCCTCTAAAGTAGATTTACTCAAATCTATCACAATTAAGATAATCTGAGATAAAGATAATTATCTCAGTTATTCCCAATAAGGGGATAACAAATTTGGCGCAGTCGGTAGTCTTCTTTTTGAAGGGGTGGATAAGGACTTAACGTTTTCTCAAGCAACTTCTAAGACTTAGAAGGGAAATAGCAGTACTAGAGTTAACCTTAATCTCAGTACTTGTCACTTGTCGATGGACTTGTGAGGATTCTCTGACTGGTAATTGAAACAGAGTTGAAAGAGAAGCCAGCAGAAAGAGGAATTTGTAGTAAAAGAAAAGTTTGCTGGAAGCTACTTTGAAATTCCTGGATTTGACGAAATCCATTACCTGTAAAGTCAGATAAGGAGATCTGAATCTTTGACAGAAGAAGAGTTAAAAATTTTGAGTATTAGTTACTTGGCCAGGTAAATAAAACTCAGAACTCTTACTTAGACAGACGTGTTTAAGACTGGTTAAAAGCAAATCCAGAAAAGAGACAAAAGTGGAAAAAGGTAATAACAGCAAAAAGCACAGGATTGTGTCCAAAAGTGTACTCTTCAGTGCAACAAAGCCTCAATCATTTTCTTTTGTGAAAACTCAAACTTTTTGTGTGTTTCTCATCTCACATGTTTCCTAAGTTTCCAATTTGAGAAACTTTGGGAGAATATCTGTGATTTTGAGCACTGAGTGATTTACAAGAGTTAAAAGAACTCGTACACTTGATACATCCACGTGGGTTATCAAGGTGTTCATTTCTTTATAACCTGGTGCTGCGATCGTAATCAGAGTACAGCAAGGTATCCAAGGTTTTTCTGATTCCTTTGTGCCGCATCCGTAGTCGCACATTGGAAATCTTTTCATCTGAGTAATCCTTGCCCGTACAGGATATTCGTATATTGAATTAAATTCTATATCTTGACAGTATTGGCCGTAGTCGCGTGAGACCCTGGTACTGAAAAGATTTAATAGTGGATTTATTGGCTGTAGTCGTGTGAGACGCCTCTAATTACCACAAAACAAGTTTTGGCCGTACTTGCGACGCCAAGGCTTGTTTTTAATAGTAAAATTCTTCTAAGAAAAATACAGTAAAAATTGAATTCCTAAATCTTTAAATTTAATCTCAATCACTCAACTCAGTATATGGTTACCAAGGGCGTGGGAACATAAAACATATCAAACAAAACATCGTTGCCATAAGGAAGCAACAACCAAAAACAAAAATTTATTTTATTCTTATGAACAAAGAAAATATAGATCCTAGACCGATACTTCATTATACAGCTACCATTTCTATTCCTATTAGAGCAATCAACCATTCAAATATTCATTTTCAACAATTTGTTCAGGAAATAAATCAGATAGTCCAAAGATTTCAAATTGCATTTGATAGAACTCTGTGAATGTCACAACAGTCATCAACACCCTATTTGACAGTTCTTCCAAGTAATATTAAAATACCATTACAAAGAAAAATCTTACAACCTTATAACTGTAATAGAAAGAATATAATACAAGGATATCAACAAAATCTAAGAGATACAGACATATCAGCTTTCTTATATTTTACCTATGACAATATCTCCATCTGAAGCTCTAAGAATTTTGGAATATACCACTTATTTTAGAATCCAAGAAATAAGAAGAGAATTATCTTCTTTGGCAGAATATAGAAACAGAATAGTAGGATTANAATGAACGGATACACATCCACGGAACTCGCCGCATCTCCCATCCGTTTCCGAGCGTCAGGAAGTTCTATCTCGGTTTTCCCTGACACAGAAAACAAAGAAAAATGCATTTCATGATCACAAATGGATGGCGCTAAGAGGGGTTTCCAATGTTTTCATCATTAGGTAAGATCGGTTTTTCAAAAATTAATGTACAGAACTCACGAAAACCACAGAGAAAGTAATTTCGAAAACAATCAGGAACGCCAAAAAACCATTCATCACCGAGAAGAAATTAGCATGGCAGCCGTATCCCACAAAAAAAAAAAATTGCGGAAAATCGGTGAATTGTACAGTATGACAAAGCCATAATGCGAAGCGTTCGTCATCTAAGGTACCACTTCATCGTATGTTCAAAAAAACACTACTCACCAGTCATCAGAGGTATTATGGCTTGAAGAGTTCCGTCACCCACAATATTGTAGCCTTTCAACACGATCCCTCCAAGGGCTTTCATTAGGAATTCATACGTTTTCGGCAGTTTCCTGACAAAAGTGTTCCGAGAAATGGAATCTTGACCCCATATGAGAACATTGACGGGTAAACCATCAGGTGACAGTAACTGCCAACCAGTGGTGGAAACAACTTTTTCATTACGCCATCCACCAGCTATGACTGATTCCCATCTGAAAATGGTCACCATCATGACAAAAAGTCAGCATAGAAAAACGGTTCAATACCACACAACACTCACTTGTTGCCGTGTCTATCTGTACAACTAGCTTCAACGAAGTCCGAAAGGCGGAATTTATGTTCTTTGTCTGTTGAATAGGTGGGGCCTCGACGGTTGAGATCATCAGTTGCTCGCAAAACCTCTAAAAACAAATGAATACATTAATTTTGAAGAATCCCGCAGGACAAGCGGGATTGAATATCGGCGAGAGAACGCTGGATAGTGAAGAAGAACAATTTCAAAATGTGCGAGTGAAATCTTCACGCGATTTTGCAATTTCTTCATCGACGATTCCTTACCTGCGAAATCGCATCGAATGCTTCGTTCGCGGACTAGATTTTGGTCAACCACAATCTTGTCCCCACGCAGGTGGACCCAAGGGGGTTTGGATGCGCAATCTAGTTTCGGGCTTGGCGGGAAAAACTTCATGATCGCCTTGTCAAAAATATCCAACACTGGGTGTTTGCACGAAACGCCATCTCCTTCATCTCGTTGACGATCTTGCAAACGGGCCATCAGCAAATTATTGTCGATTTCCATCATAGTGACATTTCGATCCCTGGTAGTAATAAGTACACTCAAAAATGAGCGCATGTCTTGAAGGAACTCAGATGAACAAACTTCACCTGTAGAATTGATGGTCGTCCGCTATCTTAATTTTGTCCACGATAGCAAAGAAGTCATAGACGACATGACGGAAGATCAAAGTGGAGATTAGGACCGAGACTAAGACCCACGTCCGCTGTCTCATCAATTTCATCCTGAGCTCATTTAATCGCATTCACCACACTTTTTTTTTACACACATACATAAAATCCCTTACCATCGACGGACAGGCTGAAAATAAAAATTATTTCAGTGATATTTGATACCCACACAGGCTGTACATCTAAAGATTTCAAAAGAAGGCTGAATTCCTATCAGTCAGATTATGATAATAGGGTCTGTGACAGATGCAGGGCCGGATTAAACCACATTTTGGCCTGATGCTGCACAAAAAATGAGCCTAATTCTCCTTTGCAAAAAAGAAATGTGATTTTTTCCTCACACAGTTAATAATATAATTCTTAGATAACATAGGGTTGTTAAGGCTAGAACTCAATCACACATAGATATGGTAGAATTTCATCAAAATTAATTTCATTACAATACATTTTTTATAATGAATTTTTCTTGTTCCTGGCAGTTTTCCATGGGCACAATTTTATAGAAATCTCATTATAATGAGCCCATTTTATTAAAGGAAAGGACACACCATTCAAATTTCTTGAGAAGCTAAAGATTTTTATAGAGAAGGATATAGGTGTCTAAAAAAATGCACAGCATTTTTCTTGGAAATTCTTTAGCTAAATTTTATGTTGTGTACCTTTCTTTCATTCAAATAAACAGTATCCTAGAACTAGAAGATATGTTTCTGTATTTGAAAGCAGGCAGGTATGCACAAAGAAGTTGATTCAGAAGGATGAGTACAGAATTTATACTAGTACAAAGGTAGGTTTAATGAAAGACAATACCCATTTCTTTTAAAAGCTTTCTGTTAAATTCATCAAATTACTGTATTTATAGTAATCATGTTAGGTCTTGAATTATCTGTTTTAGATGCACTCTGAAGTTGTATATAGCCCCTTTTCCAATGAATTTCTGTTTGGAATATGTTTAAAAACCAATCAGAAGACTACAACATAATACTCTATATGCTGCAACATATAAAACTAAGTACAGTAAAATTGATATTTAATTTGTTGTTGTACACTTCAAATTTTACAACCAATACAAACTTAAATTCGTTATTGGTAACATTTAAGAGGATTATCAATTTAAAGTGCAGACCACCTTTAGATATTACTTTAGATTCACACCTCTTTTACCAGGTGGATCCTGGACCAAGTACTTTAAGTACTCAAGACAATTGAGTAAATAAAACACAAGTAAGATAGACTTACAAGCATTTATTCAGTTCCAATATATACACAAAAATACAATCAGCCTACCATGGACTCTGTTCCTCTCAGAGGGTATCTTACCAGCACTGAACTCTACTGGGTTGCACAAGGCCTTTTATTAACTCTAGAAAAACCAGACAGTAGAGGGTCATTGCACCAGCAATGGACATTCCACCAGACATAGAAAGGAGACACAAAGTATTCCACAACACCGTATCCCTTTAGAGATTTATGGGGTGGTCAACCGCCTGGGTTGAACTGTAATAATGGCAGGTAATGATGGTATTGAGGACAGAAGTCTTCAATATAATGTGGTGTCAAGTGTTTGGATAAATGAAACAAGTAAATCAGTCTGGGACAGGACTGGGAATCCTTTTAGGAATTCCTAAGTTGAGAGTAAAATATATTTTGAGGATAAACAAATAAGCAAATTACAACTCAACAAGCCCAGGCTTGGATAACTTGGAATAAACGCACAACTCAATTGCAACTTGTTCTGATGATGATTTTTTATGAGGATGCAGCTTATACAGTATTCTCAATAATTAACTTTCATAAGGTTTTACTACGTTCAATCAAGCAGAAAAAGTTATCGTCAAGGATGCTACGGTGCCAGGCGTATCCTGTCACCATAGCTGGTACCAGGATGTGCCTGGCACTGCGATTTTGAGGAGGAGAGGTTATTTCTACAAACTTCTAAGTATTATATTGTATACTAACGTGCATGCCCAACATATCCCCCCTGTTTTATCAACAAGCTCTCGGAGCTCTTTGATAAAACACAAGGCACTTAAACGCCATGACAGGTGTGAAGAAATGGATACAAGCTATGAGCAAGGTATGATTCAGAAAGTGCGCAGTTGCCAGTTCTCGAAGCAAGCCTGTGTGAGAAGGTCCCAAATTTGTGCAACAGAAGATACCAAGGAGTGATCAATTCCTGAGTATCTTCATCACACTAACATAAGAAATACATTCACAGGAGAGGCAAAAAGAAAACCAAATGTGCGTGTGCAAAAAAGAACAATGAAAAAATTGAGATTAAGTGCATAAGAAAATTGCTGAATCCGGAGCATCACGTTGATAGAAGATGGATCCAAACAGCAAAGATGTGGTGAATCCCTTTGTTGGCGCAGGAATGAGTGTGAGGAATGAAGATAAATTTCACTTATAAATTAGTAGAAATAAAACACCTCAATCAGCCAAGCTGCGGCCGGGGTGAATTACACCCTAGTTTAATGTTGGTATATTTCGTAGATAGAAAAAAGTATAAGTCCGAATCTTCCAAATAAAACACAAGTCCAAAAATTGCCGCAGAATATTGCCGAGAACACAACAACCGATGTTGTCAGCACAAATCGCACACTTTGAATGTCCAACTTGGATTCAATTTAGTGACCAAGAAAACTTTACAGAAGGTCATTTAAAGATGACCTTTCATAGATAAAACAGGAAGGGTAGAAATGAATTGACCTCGGAGGTCACAGAGGAATGTCTCCTTGAGGAGAAGGCTGAGAGTTTTGGCAACCTTGGGTTCCCACAAGATTAACGGGAGGATGAGTTTGGCGCCAGCCAAACTCATCCTCCAATTCTAATAAATTTCGCAACAAGGGCAGTCTTGAGCAAATCTTTTCAATTGCAGTAACTGGTGTTTTGCTAAAGGCATTTGTTCTTCAAATCAAAATGTATCCTAGGTTACAATGGAAAATCAATCAATTAAATCCAGAAAACCATAAAATAAAGGTTTAAAAGAAAAAAAATTGACACACAAATTATAGGGAACAAAAAGAAAGCAACAGCAATCAAAAATTCCAAGTTGAAAATAATTGACAATATAGCAAAATTTTAAAATCATACTGTGCAGAATTACTATTTGAAAATATGCTTTCATTAGCATTTTAGGTTTTTGTATTTTTATAATTTTGTGTTGACAATAATTTGTTCTTCTGTTTTCTTTTTGACTTGATGTTTGTTCCTCAAGGCATGTTTGTTGGTATAAGTCAAAATGGCAGCCAAACCTGGGTTTGTTATGTAAACATTTTGCTGCTTGTTGTGGGGAAAATATTTTGTAAGTGTTGATTCAACAGTTTTTTTTTGCAATGGAGTATTGCAATTTTGTTGGTCAGAATCCTCCAGCTCACTGTGGGATCACTGCTGGAAATATGGAAATATGGATGAAAGACTGGAAGGAAGCTCTGGAAATACTCATGAAAAGCTTCTTCAATTGCCTAACATATATTTTTGACAGTTGTCATGAACTGACCTGTTCTTGTCACCCAAAAATTACTTAAATGACACTATTTTTCTTTTGAATAACAAAGGTCTTGTAATGAGGTAAAGTTTCAGCATGGCGCAAAAAGTAACAACTCTTACTCTGCAAAAAATTATATTCAACTGCATGTATTCAACAAAAACTTTAGCTATTTTGGAAAACTCAAGATTTAAAAAATTTCTTTGTCTGCCCTTGTTTGACGGTCCTCTCATAAATTGTGCAAGTCAGTTATTCCAACTGCTTTATTAGTTGCACACGCAAACTTTTTTCGCACGGCATCATTATTTTTTAATAACCCTGGATCTTTTTTTAAACTCATCATGCTTCAGTGAAGGCAATGAATTACAGAACTGCGAAAGGATGACCGAAACATGTATTTTTTGAAGGTCATCCAGTTATTTTGGTTTGCACACCATGACTTTCTTTCTAGCTGTAAAATCCACCCAACATTCCAAAAATAATGAGCGACGAAGAACTACGTTTTGAAGCCATCTTTGATTCCTGTAATATAATCGAATTTTCGAAAGTTAACGCTTCCATGAACAAAGCATCAAAAATATATTGTAAATGGTTTTTCGAGCTTAAATAAAATGGAAATAAACTCGATATAATTATTTCAAAATTGCAATGAGAATATCCTTTAATGGCTTCGTAAATCTGATACGAAAATCTCGAGGAAATAAACGAAAACTTTAAACTTTTGTGCTGACCGAAAAAAAAAAACCACATGATGCATGTATCACATATTTATCGTCATATTATTGTCTAATTCATAATACAGAAAATCTCGGTACAACAAAGCCATTGGGACTTGTAAAATAGCTTCGTTGTAGCGAGAAAAATCGTTATAAACGAACTCCAAAAAAAATAATTGATGCTATTGGGCAGGGACCTAAAATACGAATTCGTTGTAATCGATTATTCGTTCAAACGAGATTCGTTGTTACCAGATTCCACTGTATATTTTGCGAGTCTGCGGGATTACAAAAATTTAAAATACTGCTGAAATGTAAATTGAAGGAAGTTTTGCGCAATTTTCCGAGGCTTGCTTCAAGTCCGAAACTGAAAGCAAATTAATTGTCTGTTTGTTTCTATTTCAGTTCTTTGCTAAAATAAATCCGTGTAAATTGAAATTTCGAGAGGATTTTAAACTTCATGACTCTGATTGTGTTCCACACGTAAAGGAACTTTTTCGATCGATAAATGTTAAACCGGTGTCGTCGGATTTTGACAAAACAAAGTTGAGAATTCGAATTTCGTAGACATCATCTTTTTCTGCTTCGAATAAATCCATGAAGCTTTTTTCGAAACTGCTCGAATTTTATATCAAATGTGGTTTTTTTAACTTGACAGTTTTCAAGTTCGTTGAAAATAATTTATCATACTTTTTGGTCTTTCGGCGTCACTTATTTCCGTGTTTGAATTTTTTGTAACACCGAATACTGCCAAAAATATAAATGAAAAAGCTTCAGGAATGTGCTGATTGATTGTTGGCCCGCAATTTTCAAGTTTTTGTTGATTGAAGACGCGTGTATCGTCAAGATTTTCGCATCAACTTTTTCAATGCGAAAAAAATTATATTTTGAAATACTCGAGTTTGTTTCCATTTTATTTTACTTTAAATAGAACCCAATTTTCAAAATCCTGTTGATGCGTTATTCATAGAAAAATTACCTGAATAAATCAATGACAGTTGGGTTGGAATGGGCTAAGAATGATGATTCCGAAAGATGAATTGCGAAAATTAAAAGGTCAATATTTTATCTTCTTCCATTGTGAAGACTTACACTGATGACATGTCATGCATTATTCGTATAGGTTGAATCGCTGCTTTGCGTGAGTCATTTCATAATCTAGATCCGAAGTGCATTTTTGAAAAGGCCAGGGAGTCACATGGTATCAAGAGAATTTTTTATGAAATTCGAAGTATTCTTCACAAAACAAGACCAAAATTCGCGGAATTTCCATCAGCATTGAGGAAAGCTTTCTGAGTGAGAATCCTTTGTGCATCTTTTAATTATGTATAAAGCTGCACACTTTTACAGCATTTTTGTTGATAATGTTGTCTTAACTGGTCTAAATTCAGTTTGAGAATTGTTGATCAGACAATTCTTTCAAATTTAACTGCCTTGAATGTTGATGTTGAAGGTTTAAATCACTTTCTGTGTGCTTTTGAAGAATCAAAAATAGACTTCAACAATCTTTACAAGTGTGTCTTTTATTTCCGTTATAAAAGCTTAGTGAGATATGAGCATGCAATGTCAAGGTTCTCGTGGCAAGAGTTTGGGGAGAGTAAACTTAACATAGTATAGCAGACACTCATATATATAGACAATTGCGTTTGAGGTCAGCGCCAAGCCTAGCAACCAATTTGGATTGGTGTCAACATACTTGGTGTGCAGCAACCAAGGTGAAAGGTGCGTAGCCTAAGAAGGCATTTCTTAATGTACGTAAAATGTGCGGGTTTTGCATATGATTAACAATGCGGAACAAACGTGAAGCAGACAAGGGAACATAACCAAAGTGATGTATATTGTAGTCATGACCTTTATTGGACTACAATAACATCTGAAAAATACTGTATTTCAAGATTTTTTACAACCATCAGGCAGCAGACGGTTTATTTCCATTGTGAGGCAAAGTTCGGATATTTTCAGGAGGTGTAGCATTTCAGTTTGACCCAAGGTACTGAAATGCTCCCAGGTTGAGAAGGCCTAAGTTGGAAAAAATCTGGGAGACAAATCCTCTTTTGTTTTCAGATATCTCCAAGGTTAATCCTATGCCAGGATTGCAGGAAAAAACACCACCCAGGGAGGGATTTTTTTAAATCACAAATTTGCTCACTGCTGGATTAGAAAAAATGTTGGACTTTTTTCTGACTCAGGCTTTTGTACAAAAGCTGTATTTTTTAATTCCCAGATCTCAGTTACACAACATTTTGAAAAAAAAAATCCTGACTTTGTTGCAGAAGGGTTAAATGCTAAGAAAAAAAATGTACAAACATCCTTTTTCAAATATGGAAAAAATTCTGTGCAATGATTCCAGCTGTTCTGGTGCAATTTTAGACATATTCAAAAATTTTTGAGACAGTTCTTTGTTATCCAAAGTCATCAAAATTGCTCAAAATAAATACAAACGCATTGAACATCATCTTTGCAAAACACTTTGCCTTGTTCTGATATTACCTGTTTGAATGACATAAGTCAAGAAGTAATTAATTCTTATGGCTTGGGTGAAGGGAAATGATTGAGCTTATCATTTAGCAAGTGCAAATTCTTATAGTTCCCAAATCCTACATAGGCAACCAAGACCAGACCAACAATGAAAACTGGAGGAGTTGTTAAGACTAAAAGGTTTTGAATCACTTTTTAAATAAAGAATACAGCAATCAGCTGGGCTACAGCTGGGGTGCTTGACACCCTAGTGAAAGCTTGGTATATTTGACAAAAAGCAAGGGATTCAAAGCAATCAATAGCAACAAGAGTTTTGACATCTTTTGCGTGAGACTGCCAAAAAGCAACTAATGATCAAACAGAAAAAGATCCAGCAGTTGAAAACCCTTCCTGGTGAAAATTTTTCCTTGAGGACTGAATCATCCTAGGAAATCCTAAAGATATCAGAAAATCCTTGTGGGAACTTGAGGTCAAACTTGGTCCCATGAAATTCCTGATGGATTAGATTTCTTTCAGAAGCTTAAACAATTAATCTTCCTTCAAATTTGCATTTATAAATTCAAACATTTTCCTATTCACCTTTCTAATTTCCAACAGGAGCATTTGGACACTCATTTATAGACATCAAATCCCAGCAGACAAGAAAGGTAAATGACTGTGCATAAACATAAATGGAACTGGGATGTTAAGAGGCAACTGACTGGTGACCAGACACAATCCAAAGTTGAGCAATCAGAAGTTAAGAAGTTGAGCAAGACTGTTGCTAACAAGACTTGCAAAAGTACATTGGGAGAACACCACAACAAGAACAAGTACTGTATTTACTTGAGTACCACGCGCACCTTTTTCCCAAATTTCAGAAAAAAAAAAGGGGTGCCCATCATAAGCAGGTACAAAATTTGCAAGAAGTTTTAGGAAGTTATATTTTCATTATACTTAATTATAATGGAGAAATTTGGAACAAATATAACAAGAAAACATTTCTGTATTGAAAAAGTTGAAAATTCATCAGATTTTTGTTCTATTCACACCTAAAGTCAATTTTTTGTTTTTATTTTTGAAATTTTATGGTTTTAGATTCACTAAAAATTGGGGTGCATGTCTTACTTGGGGATACAATTTATGCAAAATTTTTAACTGAAAAGCCCCTGTGCGCGCCTTACTTAATTGAGGGCTCGTGGTACTCAAGTAAATACGGAGTACAGTGGGCCCCCATCTTACGTCATCAATCCGTTCCAGGATGGACGTCATAACATGGGGCCATCGTAAGTTGAAACCCTATTTCCCTTAAGATTACATTATAAAAAAATTAATTTGTTCCAGAAAAAAGATATTAAACTAAAATTACCTGTATATTTCAACTTTTTAATTCCTCCTAAACTTAAAAATTTAAAAAATGCTCTGAACACAGCAATTTCCAAACTTAAGGACAATTTATTTCCTGTGCATGGCACCATCTCACACTATTGACAGTTTAATCTGGCTAGGAATGAACCTTGGCACAAAAAAAACTCACTTCCTCCCAGGAAAACCTTTGGAGCATGCATGGCGCCAAAAAAATGGTTGGTGGGAGGGAGCTGAAAAACCTCAGAAGCTGTTGTATCATGAAACCCAATGAACCTTGGCACAAAAAAAACTCACTTCATCCCAGGAAAACCTTTGGAGCATGCATGGCGCCAAAAAAATGGTTGGTGGGAGGGAGCTGAAAAACCTCAGAAGCTGTCGTATCATGAAACCCCGAGGTAAGTTGGGGGTTTTTTAATATTTAAAAAAGCATTGTAAGTTGAAACCGACGTAACATGGGCCGGTCGTAAGTCGGGGGCCCACTGTATTATGAATGTATTGCAGGACACACTTGAGTCTTATGATGACATCTTGAAAACATTTTTGATTATTTTAAATTCTTAAAAGCAATGACTCATTTTTCAAAGCATTGAAGAAATTCTCTATGCAGCTATTTTCAGAATTTTTTGAAATTTCAAATACTAATAATTCTGGATAATGGATAATAATTCTGAAACGCATCAAATTGTTTCTTTTGACCATGCGGCAGGTTTTAATACATGCTTGAGTTTTGGGAAATATTGATGTACTTAACTTTTATGAAGCTCAATAAATACTGTAATTTCGAAAAGGTGTTGGAAATTATGCTGAGGCAGCTTGCGGAAAATGATGAGCAATTGTTCATTCTGTTCATTATTCCCCTGAAGCCGCGTGTGACTTTTTATGCATGCAATTCCGCGGAAATTATGCACGCCTTATTCCGGCGCAATATTTGCATATGCTTATTCGGGTTCATTTGAGAACCGCTTTTGAATACATCCGAAATTTGTTTGCGTTACTTCGACGAGGCTTTCGTCATAATTATCATAAATGGACATTTTTGCATGAAGACTGCTGATGATGTGTTCCTTCAGCAATTTTTTACGAAGTTTTCTTACATTAATTCCTCCAATCGAGTTTAAGCGTTCTCTGAAATGTTAAAATTCATATTTTATTAAAATGGATGTTTTTTTCGTGTGGTCTTAAAAATTCATCCGAATTGATTTCTGCTGGGCGGTGATTTTCTTCTGCGCTTCACGAAGTTTGAATTTTCGAAATAATCTTCGTTGACGTTCCCGATTGATTTGATTTATGCATTATTAATCGTTTACTTATTATTTATCCGCTAAAAACGGATGTTCTCGGAAAAGCTTTCATTCCAGCAGTGGAGCGTGTCTTTGACCTTTATGGGGGTTCCCAATGCATTTGACCTCGATTCACGGGGTTTCGCCGGAAATTTTCTCACAGCCTTGATGAGGAGGGTTGGAAAATAATGTAAATTTTATAACGTTTATTCGGAAGAGTCTCGAAGACAAAATGTTATTTTTAAAAGAGGAGCTGAATTTCAAACGTGCAAATTCGAATTTTGAATTTAAATTCAGGAATTTTCGGCGTCATGATTTCAGTCGAATAATTAATTTTTGAAAGGATGCGCAGGGAAGAATATTATTTCTGCGGAGAGAGACAGAGAATATTTTTTTGCGGAAAGTCGCGGAAAAATGAACGAACTTTCGGAAGATTCCCGTTTTTTTCGTATCCATTTATGTGCAAATCTCATCCGGTGAAAAGCAAGTATAGTTGCGAGCCGTTTCACACAGTTGACATGATCCGCAGTTTGATCCCGACCTGATGAATCCGCTTAGGTTGTTTACGCCAGGATTTTCTTATTATTTTTTTTTTATTCCTCTTTTATCTGCTTTTTGTGTTTATACGCATCCGCAATTTCAGCAAAACTGCAGCATGAATGAAATTGCGCTTCATCACGTACGTCAAGGTTCACTGGATGATCTGTTGATGGCTTCTGTCTCATTTTTAGAAGCAGCAAGAAAATATCGTGATCCCCCGCTTAACAACAAAGTTTAAAAAAAAAATTCTTGACTAATGTCTGTGGACATCCATAAAATTTCCTGCTCAAAAATATCTCAAAAATGGGTTTTCTGCCAGAAAAAAAGAAATTATAGCAAATTAAAATCCATTTTTAATATATTTATTTTGATATTCTATGTAACAGGTGGTACCTTGAAACTCAACCCTAATATGTTCCCAAATTAGGGTTGAATTGCAAAGCAGTTAAATTGCGAGACACTGTAAAATTCAAAAATATCAGTTAAAAAAATGCTGAAAAGGTTGCCAAAGCAGTTCAAATTGTGGGGAAAGAGTTGAATTGCAAATCAACCTCTTTGCAAATGTAACTGTTGAATTGCAGGATGGTCACATTGCAGGAGGTTGAATTACAAAGGTACCCCCCCTACTGTATGATTCGGCTTTGAGCTATGATTATTTAAAAAAATTCAATAATTTCTTCAGTTTTACTAAATGCCCTTCTTTTGAAAGCTGCTGATGTATACCTTGTCCACTCATACAAAAAAAGTTTGAAATTGCAAAAGTTTCAAAGGATAAATTGCTGATACTGAAGAATTATTTGTCTTCAAATATTAATAATGCTGAAATCAAATGTATGTGAGTAGCCCTTCTTCCTCATGTGTAAATTTTGTAATGCAGATTACAGGATAAGTTACCTTACTTATACCCAAGTAATTTATTGGCAATAAGTAGGCAACCATCATATTTTTTAAAGCCCAATCAAAACGTTATTTATCTTGAGTAATAATAACTGTGAATAAGTAATGCTTTTCTGGGTCTCACCAAAACCCAAAATTGTGTTCATTTTTTTAGATAACTCATTTTTGTTGTACCTTTATGAGTTTAAGCACTGCTCTTTGTTTTTCTCACCATAATCAGAAGTGAAGTTGATGTGCCAAGAGCAGCTCAAGTTCTCTTCATTCAGTATATTAGATTATTTTTTGTTTTTCTTGCACCAGGAGAAGATGCACTTTCTGGTTGGCTTGTGTCTCTATTTTTTTCTTGCTCTTTGGCTGTTGATGGTTGCTTTGTTGCTTCTGAAGGAGGGATTCGCAGTGTTATTGACTGTATGGAGGTGTTGTGTGTTGGCTTATGGTGTTTTGTGTGTATATATATATAGGTGTCCGTGGCAACCGCAAAAGAGGGAAAGGAAGAAGACGTTTTGTCACCAGGCACATTGGCAGAGTACATCATGGCAACTGGGGATGAGGAGACTGTTGCTGATGCTGTTGAGGGACTGCTGAAGGATGGGCTGGTGAGTTATAAATATAATATATAGTGAGTAATAAACATGGTGGCATGTATATTTTTCTCTTCTTGGAGGTTCCCCACAGGTATATTAGACTAGAGCAGTGTTCCCATAACCTGTGGTCTGCAGACCAACACCTGTCCACAGAAGATGTTCCAGCATAATAAAATGATCAAAAGTAGCAATGAAGTCTTTATCTGAAATGTCAGAAAAAAAGAGGCAGTTTCAAAGAATTGCTTGATGAAAAAAATGAAAGTTGGCTTTTATTCTAATAGCACTTTGGACAAATTTTCACCTGCTGAAAAAATTATATATAT